ACAGCCATGATCTGCTCGCCTACAACGGCAACGACTACACCTACCTCTTGAACCTCATCACACACTTGTTCGTCACTTTATCTCTTGTAAATACTCGGTGCAATACAAGTGGGACGGGCATGCCGATTTTTTTGAATACGTAGTCGCGAAATGTATGCACGTGGAGACCAGTGCTCATTGATATTCGGTAAGCGAAAGCGATTCGCACATTTCAGCTTTTCATGCATGTCAACACCATCTCACTAGCACTGGGTAGCAGTCCCCACGTACATACATTTCGCGCCTACAGTATCCTAGAAATCGGGGTGCCCGTCTCACTTGTATTGCACCAAATTCTCTATAAAAAATGAATGGCATTCTGAATCTTGGTCATTTCAGTCTGGCAATGCTCTCATGTGTTGCTAACCCAATGCTGTACGCCTTTTTGAATCCGGAGTTCCGTGAACTGGTTCTGAATGGATTGGCCGGTCTCAAATGGACACCACGATTCGTCAGTCGGACATGGCAGCCCACCCAGACTACGGTAGTGTGATCGGCGCGATCTCATGGGGTAAAATTTCGCCCCTGCTGTAGACGTAGCCAAGATTCCTTCTAAATTCAATATTGTACGGAAACTTGTGAAAATGATATTCACTATAACAAAGAAAAACTTATCGAAAAAATCTAGAATGCTGTTCCTGTTGAGAATAGAATAATTTTAAATTCCCATGCAGGGTCCACCGTGCGTTGTGCAGTTCTCAACGAGTGAGGTCGCACTTGTGGAAGTTGAAGGGATGGTGGGCAGTAGCAGTGGGGGACGTGACAGACGGGTTTTATGGCATTTTTGGGGAAAACTTTCTGAAAGAAGCAAGAAACAGCAAAAAATAAAGATCCCTCCGGCAGTGATGGAGGGGAAAAAGGGGGAGAAGCTGAAACCTGTCGACTAGTCCAAAATCATGTACTGTGAAAGCAGCCACGGTGGTGAGGGTGACGGTGTGGGGTGGGGTGAAAGGGTCGTGTTTTGGGGGAGCCTTATAAGGGTAACGGTGGTGGTGGTGGGATCAAGGAAGGGTCGTAAACTTTTTAAAACTGCGCAACGCACGGTGACCTTGTTCTCAGATGATAGAAATTCCTCAAAGAAAGAAAAAGGTGTTAGGAAATAAAGCAAATCTCTTCAGTGTTGCGGAGCGAAACCACCACAGTCCGCCTTGGTCGCCATCTGAAAGCAACGATGAGGGCATAAACAACTCTAATACTCGTTCCGAGTTTTCCTAAAACGACCAGCAATCTGAACGTGTGGCTTGGACGAAACCATATTGTGCCAGTGTAGCTAGCGCTTGAATGAGCCTTGTTGTTTCAAAGTCGTATGTGTATGTCTTTTTTCCTGCACCCAGTCATCGATTTTTCTTAACAGAAGGAAATTGAAAATTGAAAGCATCTTGGCCTCTTCACGGATGCGGTACGCTAGGAGAGAAAGCGACTTTTTCGCGTTTCGCAGCGCGAAACCTTTCTCGCTGCGGGAACTCCAGGTCCACTTATGATCAGCGGTGAACCTAAGGTTCCCGCAGGAAAAAACGTCGCGCGCTGAGAAACGCGGAATAAATCGCTTTTTGCCACAGCGAACCACACCCCCTCCTCACTTTCCAAATTTTACTATTGTTGACACTTCATTAAGCTCAGCCTTGACGTTAGTGGGAAGACGACCCTACGGTAAAGCTGCATGACCCTCTCGCTCCGCCTTCATCTCCCCCTCCCTATTACCTTCCAGTAAGACAGGCTGAATTCACTTATAAACACCCCAACTCGCCCCTCGATAGAACGCAAATTCTACGCACCTTTTGACTCTCTCCAATCAAGGATCCTCGCCTCCCTAACCCCTTGTTTGACTGAAATATAAAGCCGGTCATAATGCATAACTAACGATAAGGGATTAAGCAAGTAGCATCAACTAGTCATTTAGGAGTGCGCCATTCAACCTATTTCCATTCAAAATTGAGAGGTACTGAATAGGTATCACTGCAGGCAGCAGGGCTACTCACTACTCAGGAAGACGTTTTCTATCTGTCAGGCGAGTCTGATGGCTATTGATCGGACTCCGGTAACTCAGTCGTACAAACAACCCTCCACTTCCCGGGTTGGGTTGGATGGTCTGAAACTTGACTATCGACCAGTCTCCCGTGGTTGCTGGCATGGGCAGCAGGAAGGACCAATCCAGCATTTCATTGCTATTCTTCATACAAAACAGTAGGATTCCTTTATTTCTCTGTTGATAGTTAAGTAGTACGTAGTTATAAATAGTTCATATTTATAGATGTACTAAATAGGTAAGTTTGCCATTCTTCCGCACCTTACGCCAATACAGATAGATGTATTTATTCCTGTGTAGCCTGATCACTTGCTTCCAGAGAGTGGCATATAAAGAACGACCCTGATTATCGGTGATTATATGAATCTCTTTGACTTCAAAACTCGGATCTCAGTTATCCAGTTTATTTAACATCATGAGGCCTTTTTGATTAACTCTCTCATATAAAGTTTCTGAATCAATGTAGTCTCCATGTCGTCCTTTCTTGGAACCTCGGCATTTGATGTTAAATTTGCTGCAATTGTGTTTTGTACTGTATGCCGAACGAGGTTTTTAAGATGGAATCTTTATTGACTGGCCTGACGTTTCGACAGCTTCGTCTTCTTCAGAGGCCTGGAGATAGTCGATGATTCCACCGATGCGGAGCAGTAGCTCACGCCCTGCGTTAGTTGACGTCAGTAAAAAGAAAAGTTCTTTTTACTAACGTCTTACGTTTCTTAGTTGACGTCAGTAAAAAAAGTTCTTTTTACTGACGTCAACTAAGAAACTAGCGTGAGCTACTGCTCCGCATCGGTGGAATCATCGACTATCTCCAGGCCTCTGAAGAAGACGAAGCTGTCGAAACGTCAGGCCAGTAAATAAAGATTCCATCTTAAAAACCTCGTTCGGCATACAGTACAAAACATAATTGCAGCATGTGTTTCGTTTTTTGGTTGCTTTACGATTAACACATTTTCCAAGTCTCGGGTTATTTCTATAAGATCATCTTTTCTTTATCTCAGAGCATTTACTTGAATAAATAACATTTTGCATGAACGCCTGTAATTTCCGCTCCACAACCACACATATTCGAAAAACAAAAACATAAAAAAGTCATTCAAGTTGTACGAAAAAAAAAACAACGGGTATGCATGCATAATAAACAAAAGTCAAGATACCTACTTCAATATTCTTGAGATATAATGAATGGATTTTACTTCGCCTTACTAGTGGACCCATTATTGTAGTGCGCCGATGAACTCGCTGTTGCGGGATTCGGTCGCCAAGATTCAGTCCTTCGTGGGAGAGCAAAGCTGGTGGGAAACACTGGCCCGTATGAAGGAGACTGCATGATGTCCTAAATGGATTTACTGGAGCTGATGATGTTGATTTAAGTGGTCGGAAATACCTGAGCCTGCGGTGTTCGTGGTTGCTGAAGCGTAGGTTCGAGAGCTGCCCCACGTGACTTCTCGGGCGTCTCCTTCAACGATCCTTCGGAAGAACTAGGAAATACTCCGCTTTCCGGCTTTGAGCCCATCTAGAAAAAAGTTCTTACGACACTTGATTTATAATCTTTACGCGAAGTCTGCCTACCGACTCATTTGTTATTGTCTACCACTAAATCCAATATTACCCAAACCATCATCGATTGGCAGGGCAGGGTCAAATATTCAAAATGGATGGGGTATTGCCAAAATTTACGAAGCACGCGTAGGTTGACGAGCCCCACCCACGGTGGGAGAGGGTGCGTTGAAGTAAGCTGAACTGAAGACAAGAAATGGATAATCCTGCTCAGGAACAGCCTTTATACTTAAGGAACTGCGTAAAAATGAATAAGAGCTTCGAGATCTACGCAATCCCGCAAATATTTTTTGTACTTCGAGAAATGAAGCGAAAAATCGTTCATGTACCAAATGGCAGTGGCGTGGTCCTTCAGGGCTTCGTCGACTTTTTTCTTGCTCTTGGGCTCTTCAAATCGAAGAACTTGGGTAATTATGTACCCACATTTACTCTCCCGACACTTCGACTAAGTTTCTTTGTGTCGTGACCACGTGGGTATGACCGAAGTGACGCAGGGTTATGATGAAAACCCGCGGTAGATTGTTCAGGTATTCATCTTAACCTGTCGAGATCGAATGCTGCATCATTTTTACTGATCAAATGGCGAGCCGAACTTCGGAATAGAGAACAAAAAGTATCACATATTCATCTTGCTTCAAATGGAAAACGGACAGCTGGGCATGACTGTCGACGAGATCGGAATGGAAGTCGCTGATGAATTCAAACGCTGCGTTTTAAGATGCAAAAATAAACGATTTCGACGGCAGGAATCTTAATATTTCACAGAAATCCAGAGACCGGGAAGAACGCATGAAAATGTGCATCGAGTTGCCAGGTCGGCAGATCGGAATAAAGAACCACTCGTAGTGGGCAGAACGTTTTCCAAATGCACCCCTATGACGCGCGCGACACAGCGGAATAAAACCGATTAATTGTACATTTCACGAAAAAACGTACCTCGTTGCTTGTTGGCTGGTTGGTTCTTCATCGATCTTGTAGAGCATCATGCGATGGAACTCTGTCAAATGACATAACAGTCCCCAAGCGCTTTTGAAACGGTTATCACATGAAGCGCATTTGATGTGGTTAGGGTTCATCTACAACGCGATGAAATAAGATAAAAATGTAAAAGGTTGTAAAAGTTTAGATAGTTTAAAACAAATAAACCTTTTCGTTCTATTTCTACGCAGCCCAGCAATTGCCGATGATCCTTGACGTATCATAATCGCGGTCCAAAGCGAAGCTGCCACAATCATCCGTGTTCAGGCATGTTCTGAAAGTACATTTGCAAATTATCGTAAGAAGGCAGGCATTTCAAGCATTCGACTCTACAGAACTGTTTGTTTGTGACTTGCGAACGCACTCAGGTGCCTGGCGATCACGCTAGGGCGTGCTGCAGTAGCTACCGGAAAAGTTTCTTTCTAGATGCGACTAGAAAAGTTGGTCGACTGCACGGAAACGATGTTCGATTGCGAAATTGCGGTGCAACAAAGTAATGCACCAAGTTACTTTCTTTTGGGCTGGCCAACTTCAAACAAGGATGAAATAGACGGATATCATGTAGAGGAATAAAAATCGCTGCTACCTTGTGTTGTCGCTTCCAATATATGTTTTCACTGCAAAGCAATCAGTTATCATCCCTGAAGAGAGATGTTCCCCGACAGTTCGAGATCAAGGAAGGAACATATTACTAGCTAAAGCCAGGGAGATTCCCTCAGACATGAGGGACAATGCGTGTTCGAATGCGAAGAATATGGCAGCGAACAAAGCGGGGCCGTGCGTCCGGCGTCAGCTCGCGCCTCTGCCACCGGCGAATAGTGAACCCTCACCGTTCGATACAGGCCCTTTAGCATAGAAAAACGTGGGTTAGCGTTTCAAGGGGCAGGAATTGATATGAAGTATGATAGGTATCAGGGACGAAAATCAACGGCCCAAAGACAGTAATAGCATATCAATTATCGGAGCGTTCTCACGTTTTGCCTTACGTCTCACACCGCTGATCAACCTACCTCTACTTGCGTTTGAATGCGGCATGCCCTTTCATAGGCAACCTTCCGCCTTAACACGTTGAGAACAGACAGGAAACAGTCCATCACGTTTGAGGCCATAACGGGGACAGCGCGGACGTGAAGGTCTGCACCCACTCACTCTTTTTTCCATGCATTGCGCGCACTTATTTCTTAATTTTCTTGACACTTATTCATGCTAGAATACCTAACCATAGCGACAGGGCATAGTGCGTCCACAGCGTTTTGATCACGTTTTCGAAGGAGCCAACGTACCTGCATGGAGAGGTCACCAGGGTGTTGTGGCTCCTCAAGCAACAGTTCTGTATTCGCGCGTATTTCAGTTCTTTTATGTCTTCTACAGTAGCGCTGTCCTCACGAGAAACTTTCAAAGCACGACTGTTGTCATCCTCTCCAGCACGTTTACGCGAGGCACTAGAAACAAAACAAGGAGCGCGTGGACAGCGAGCATAGTCAATCCATATTTTTTTTTTTTTTGACGACGCCTAGTTATCCAGAATTTTTCACCAGGAATATGGCAGAACACGGTTTCGAACCAGCACATGGGAGAGTGGCAAGTGGGTATATTTGAAAAATCACAGGTATGTTAGAAAATTTTCATAGATCACGAAAATGACAAAATATTCGAAGTATCACCACCCAACGCGGTACCGCCATGGACAGGAGATCGATTACCTTTCTTCTTGCTCCAGGCGTTTCTTTCCTGCATACGACTCCACAAGATGAACATCTGGAGCACAAACATATTTTGACGATACACGAAGAACATCACGTAACGGCATGAATTAAGGAAAGGATCAACGGGTGCAAAGACATATCAAACACACAAAAGAATCAAAAGTTAAAATGTTCACAATTAATTAATCTTCTTCTTATTTCAGCGCACTGCTTGACAGCGTGGTTGTGAGAAGAGCTGGATTATGGATTCTAATTATGTTCATGATTACGATGTAGAATCCACATCAAGTGAAGTGTTCAAGTCTTACCACAAGGTCACGTCAACAGAACTATGCAATGGCAATGGAGACTCCTTTTTTGGGCTATTGTTACAGCTAGTCTAAATTCTCACGCCAGTGTATATTCTAAGCTTGCAACGAGAAAATCAGGACAGATGACTTAAACAACAGTCCCAGCAGGGTGGGCGTGGTCGGAAACGACTGCAGTCCCCTTGGCCGATTCCGACCACGCCCACTTCAGCTCCCTGCCTAGCGGCTTTCCAAGGTGAGTTTTTGTTCAGTCACACTTCTTACGTTCTTGACTAGGGCTGAACAGCTCCGAAGTGGGAATCGGCCGAGGGGATTGCAGCCGTTTCCGACCACGCCCACCTGCTGGGACTGTTGCTTTAAGCAAATCGTCCATGGCCTGATCAGACTAAAAAGTTCTATGCTGTAAATAAAAAGTTTTTCTCTCTTCGGAAAAAGAAATAGGAGGGAGTGTTGAAAGCAACACTTTTTGAGATGGTTACAGAACTTGCTGCTGCTACAAATTGACCTAGACAAACTTGGGGGGTGCCCCGAGGAGGGCGAAGAACAAGGACTGCTGCAGTACAGACGAGCGCTGTAGGAAGGAACTGGAATTCAAGCTTCCAGATATTGGAAAATCAGTGCTTCAAGAGCGAATAGGTCAAGCAATAGTGGAAGGAATGAATGGTTTTGTTTCGTCCAGGTAAGTGGCCGAAAGATTTCCTAGTGATGACACTCAGCTTCCCTACTTTCTTCAAGAGTTGGGTGGCGCGGCCGCGGAGAGCGCGGCCGAGTTTTATAGTGCCCACGAACTGTGCTGATGGCAGGGTGAATAACGGTCGAGGAATTCCTCGACAATCGCTCTCTGCTTGCGCGAGAGTAGAGCATAGTGAATATACATACGCGCGGAGAGCACAGACGGCTCGCGAGGTGGCAAGAGTGAATATCCGCGCGCGAGACGTGCCATTGAGGAATCCTCAAGCAATATTCACCGTGGCTGATGGAGTGTTTTCGAACCTACCCGCACAGTTCGCGGGCACTACCAACTCGTCCGCACTCGCCGCGGCCGCGCCTCAAATCGTGAAGAAAGTGGGAGAGCCATGACACTCCAAGGAAGAAGCATCACCGGAGTCAACATTTATGACATTCTACGGCGGGAACTCGAAAGAACGAATAATAGTTCTCTCAGTCCTTCTTTCAATTGTTCACCGAAACAAACGCATAATTTTTTCCTTTCCGCTTTTAGCGTGAAGAATGGTCCGCAGCCATTTGTTTCTGATGGAGATAGAATCGATCAAAGGTGAAATGATTTAGACTTGATATACACCCACACCAACTCAGAATATAGTGTAAGGGTATTGTGGTACAGTTTAGAAAAAATATCATTGATTTTAGCAAGACGACTATAAAAAGCCGAATATCGTAGAACATGTTGTGCAGGAAGGGTGGACCGTGCCCAAGAAAGTGGGGCAGAAACGCCATGTCGCGGCTCGGAAGTGCGCTACAATGGCACTAGGACATTACAATGTGAGCCAACAACAGCTAATTTTAGCTAACGGACGGGATACCTCGCGCACACCCGGATGACACGCAACGTAGATTACGGCGCGGCTCCTTCAAGTGCACGGTTAGTTGAGATGTGGAGCAGACAACTCCGTACAACTCTTCTGGCCTCACCCTTCCAAATTGCAATTCACTCCAGAATCCTAATCTGCGGAGATTAAAAGTACATGACCGCCAGGGATTCACAAAGAGGTCAGAAATGAGTGATCGCAAAGAAATAACCGGCGCATATCGATCAAAAGGGCCACAATTATGGTATAAAAGTCAGGTAGGGCATCGTGAGAGGTCTTGTTGCTGTTGTCGGTGAAGCGAGCACTAGGGAAGCCCCGTCTCAACCGCACACCGGCCGCCCTCCCCTCCTCCCCCAGCCCATTTCGACCATGTTCCTTTTATTCAATCTGTTCGTTTTGTTTGCGTTAATAAATTCTATTGAATGATCGTGGTTACTTGGGGGCACGTGCACATTAAGAATCTCAGACACTGATCAGATCCGCACCAGCCAAAAAAGTTAGGATTCATGAACGGATGCGAAACGGCGAAACCTGGATCTGAACAACAATTGTAAACAGAACCAAACTTACAAACGGTAGAATGAGTCTACCCGCGAGAAAAAACACTTTCAACAGACTGCGATGAGAAAAAAAAAGTTAAACATCTATGGTCCCTCATCAAAAAATTAGTCTTGCCCTTGCACCTCATACTCCACTCCTTAGATGGACTCCGTAAGGCACGACATGGGCCTGTCATTTCTTTCGTAGACTAGCCGATTTGGCGGCGCGAGCTCTGAAGGCAGCCTAAAGGAAGCGATCACGTTGGCTTACCATGCTGGATTTGCTACCAGCGTTATCCTTCTATTTTATAAAGCGCTAACTTTGTGTGTCGGTTTGTGTATCTGTATGTGTGTGTGTATGTATGTATGTGTGTCCGTCCGCAAAATGAAGTGAGTGAGAAGGAAGCTCATGGGATAAACAAACCGCTAACAAATCGGGTAGCTTACAGGATTTGAGATATCAATGTTTTGTAGCAGGATAGTTGTGATAACACTCTTAGGGCTATATAAACACCTGCTTAGCACACTTCCGTTCATTCCACATGGTGCTGCAGTGGCAGCTGGAGGGCAGTGGAGAGAGGAAGGGAGGATGAGGAAGGGAAGCGAAAAATCTACCGTCATATCATGATTGTGTCCCTTCTACTGTTTGAAACACCATTGTGTTGCATACGCGTCACTTCCAGGAGGTGTTGGTGTCACAGGAGGAAGGGACCATAGCGGAGGATAGAAAGCTTGCGCAGGAAAGGAAGGTCCCGGCGGTTGACGGGGGACTAATCTGGTCAATGATAAGGTGTGAGGCAGTAATTGTTGGACGAGTGTAAGCCCATGGAAGATATGATACGATGAGATAAGAAGGTGCGGCTGCTTGATAAGAGGTGCACTCCAGAATGAAAACGGGACGATAACGATAACGGTATCATATCTAGCACGCTCTTATCGCACCCCTTTCCACATCGATAAGTCTTGGTTTTTGCTGAACGGAAGTGGATTTCGGCGCCTTATCACTCCGTTGATAAGGCGCCACTGCCACTGAAACTTCACGTGTTCTAACATTGGGCAGGACCTCTATCCACTCAGTAACAACTTCCTTATCAATATGAGAATTATCGTGACCACTTCCTTTAAGGTCCGGTGGATGTCATATTCGGCGAGGCACGACATCGCAATAATGACATTGACAGCGTCAACATCTACCTGTGGAGTGTCGGCTCGTGGCGAATCTAAGGAGTTTCAGAAATCTTCCTTCGAAGAGCGGAAGGATAACCCCGATCCCAAAAAGAACAATCATATCAAAAAGAATGGAAGAAAACACCAACAATGAACATCATAAATTATAAAATAACACGACAACATCATAAATGAAAGATGCCTAGTAGCTGAAAAAAATAAAACGAGACAGTTGCGAATTAAATTAGATAAAACAAAGGCCCCATTCATAGACCGCGATTAATGCGATTTGGCGATTCGCGCTAACAGAAGACATACGCATCGATCTAAAGGTGCGGTGACTATGCAGGACGCATCGATCTAAAGGTGCGGCGACTATGCAATAAGGCGCTTGGCGATTATGCTCAAAGGGCTAGGTGCGCATCGATCGAATTGATGACCGTTCGTCGATGCGATATGTCGACGATCCCACAGAGACACGTATACATTCCTCCCGACACAATCGTTGAATCGCCAAATCGCGATCTATGAATGGGGCCTAAGTTCGCGCTTGTAAAAAGGTCCGTGCAGCTTGTATAGCGCAAGCTCTCACCTAATATTGTGCCCATCCATTTCTTGCCATTCAATCCGGTCACGGAAGCGTCAGCTTCACTGGCATTGGAAAATTGCACAAAGGCGTAACCTTGCTGAAAACAGTATAAACCAACTCCGAGCGAAATATCAAATATTCTTAGATTACCTTGAAAAAATTGAGCGCAAGAACAGTCCCAAACGGCTTGCATATGCTAATGAGATCATCACGCGTGATTGGAATATTACTTAGGCGTCCAATAAAGACTCGCGACCTCGTCAGAACGGGATCTTTGGAGTTTGTATCAAATCCAACCTCTGGGTTCAAAGTTGAAGGTCCAGCCGGAGGTCCAGCCCTAAACAATCTCGCTGGTAGGGAAACTTGCCTTATATAGCCGAAGTCTAATTATGTGAAAGATACCTTTAAGCAAAACCTACATGTTCATCATGGGGTTGAAAGGCATGGGGCATGCAGGCGCTCCCATTGCATTGAACATTGGTGGTGGTCCACCGAAAACCATTGGAGGCCCAATAGGGGGCCCAAACCCTGGAGGAGGCATCGCCATTTGTGCCATTGTATTTGGATGTGGCTGTGCACACGACACCGCTGGAGGCGTTTGTGTTTGATCCGAGTTGAGTTGCTCTAAACAGGTCTTGAGAAGCAGAATCATTGCAATTTTCCAGAAAAACTACCCGTTATGGGACGGATTACATTTTGCAGTTCGTGTGCTTTCTCAAGAACAAATATGTAAGCCTTAGAAAACGTTGAAGAAACATCTGGAGTCGATTGCTACGCCTTTTCAGTGCAATTTTCATGAGGGGAAAGAAAATGCAAAAAATTTAACCCATTGCGGACCGCCGTTATAATTGCACCTCCGTAGGTTTTTGTCATCTCTTTTATCAGTGGCCAATAATCTATCGAAAATTTAACCAGTACGCAAATATATGATATATCCAGTGTCTGAAAAAAAAAGTAGAATTTTGATTTTGTAACTTAGCAAAATGCTGGAAAAAATCGAAGATTGCTATCCTTCTCCGCGTGGTGGCGTGCTGCACATGGTGCAGCACGCGGTCCGCAATGGGTTAACAAAGCCGATGGGATCAAAATTGGCAGGTGACCTTATGATTAAATTAACAAAGTAACAGCTAATTAAAACACCGAGCATACCTGCGTTGTTTGCCATGAAACCTGGAGGAGGAAATGATGTAACGTTCATGAAACCACTGCAAAGAATATAATTATGACAAGAAAGAAAGCAAAGCATGTCGTCACCAGTTTGCGAAAGGTTTCCAAAAGCTTTTGCACCCTTCGGAGACCCAAGACGGTTTCAAAAGCAATTCTACGGCTGTCTACCAATCGTGTTTACAGTTCATTGCAAGCAAAATGTTAGACCCCTCCCCCTACAAAAATTGTTTCCAGCACGGCTACCGACCGCTATGTTGGCCATTTTCACAACTACTTGTATTCTCATCACGTGAAAACAATTCAACAGCGTTCTAGAAGACGGAGGACCACCTAAGAAAGATCAGCCGTCCTACATGCATTGCAGACGTCACGCCACTCAGCTAATGGTAAGGTTAAATTTTTAAAGCAACCCCCACATTCTCAGGAAAGTTCGCCGGCGTTAGGCGCTACCGCAAATACGGAAGCATTGTGATGGCAACGCATTCAAAACCGCGCAAAACATGGTCATTTGTTAAAAAAGGTACTAAGCCTTGTGTTAGACGGGGGGGAGAGACTCCTAGGGGGTGAGCCATTTTCCATTTTCCCTGGAGGAGCTCCTGCCCTCTCGTAGGCTTAGTCCTAAAGGATGCCCCGTATATTATGATATCGCCGTCTAGTATTTCCATGAAATTTTTATGAACAAGGATTTCATTCTGAGGACTTTATTGAGCACTCATTCAAACGCACACAAACACTCTCCCTCAACTTTCATCCATTACCTCTTGCACGGCAGTTGGCCGGTTAGGTGTTTTCGAGCTAACCCACAATAAAATCGTCAACCAGGAATAAGAACCAGCAATATTTCAAGAAATAGCGACATACGGGCAATTCCGACAAGCGCGAAGCTGGAATCTTGTTACTACCGTATTCCAAAAGCGTAAAATAAGTGGGCTGCGGACAGTGCACCCGCCATACGACAAGCAGCGAGTTGAGCTGAGAAAATCATCCGACATTTCCAGAAGTCGGTGCCTCCCGGTGTGGTTCGCTAAAACAGAAAAGGGCGCTCATGTCGTTGGAGGGGGGACATCTACAACAGGGCCGATTGGAGGTGGCATTAGGACTGAAGCATTAGCATTAGGACGAAGCAGAGTTGTCCTACCGAACCATCACCGGCGACCCCTCCCCTCTTCTGAGGCGTAGCTCTTCACATTTAGAATAAAAGAATATACTTTCTGTGTATTT